TGTGAAAATTTAAATACAGACACAGTATAAATACAATTTTATTATCAAAGGGATGTGTGTGATCAAATATTAAATATCTCTCTATGTGACATTTACATAAGATAAACAAAAACACACTTGCTTGCATCACCATGGTTTAAGCCAAATAACCACCAATTGCTTCACATCCTCTCTCATCACAAATGAAGTTCACACACAAGCATCCATGTGAAAAAGATTCACATTTAGAAAGAGGCAGCAAGATCCCATCCCAAAAGTCATACAGGTTCCTCTTCTCTCCCCCAGTATCTACTCATTGAGTGTAAATGTCTTGAGTAAAGGGGGCTATTAGTATGGGCTCCTCTATAGGTTTCCGCCATGGAGGCAGGAATCTATCCATGTCCAAAACTTCAGTTCATGTGTGAAACAGTATAAAAGTGAGGCGAGTGTGAGGCAGATTCCAATATATCCCAGGTGGTGCCACCAAGACCACAAGTTCAAAATAAGCAGTACTACTGGATTGAGCATCTCTTCAATCTCTATGTAGCTGAGGCAGAGAGAGCTGGAGCCAAAGTATTCCGTCTATGCAGGATCATTTCTCCTTATCAGAGTAGTACTAATGGTAGAACAAACAGCATAGGTTCCCCAGCTAAGGGCCATTTTACACAGGCCTAAAATGCAGAAGTTACTGAGTTAAAGCGGTGGGGGGGGGGAGGGGTGGTGGCTACATAACACTAGCAGTAAAACAGCACTGATTCTCAGCAACAGGCAAAAACACATGTTAAAAAGGTCTAATTTGATGATCTAATTTGCTTCGTAGAAGAACCGAGAGACAACATCAAGAAATTGCTGAATAAAATTGAAGAGTTTGGCAAACTGGCCAGCCTCAAAATAAACAAGAAAAAAACAACGATCTTAACGAAAAACATCTAAATCAAACTAAGAAAAACTAGAGAAAATAACAGACATGAAAACTTCATCCAAAATCAAATATCTAGGAATCCAAATTACAGCCAAAAACTCTCAATTAATGAAGAACAACTACGAATCACTGTGGTCGGATATCAAAAAAGATCTATCCTCCTGGAAAAGTTTAAAACTATCATTACTGGGCAGGATTGCAACAATCAAAATGAATATATTGCCAAGATTCCTATACCTGTTCCAAACTATACCAATAATCAGAAACAACAAAACATTTGAAAAATGGAACAAGGACATTCTATGATTTGTATGGAAAGGGAAAAGGCCCAGAATAAAAATCAAACACCTGATAGACAGCAAAAAAAGAGGAGGTCTCGGCCTGCCAGATCTCAAACTATACTTTGAAGCGTGCGGGTTATCCTGGCTAAAAGATTGGATCACGCTTAAAAGAGAGAAAGTATTAGCTCTGGAAGAGTTCGACCTACGAGTCGGATGGCACGGCTACCTCTGGTATGAGAAGACAAAAGTAGAGAAGAACTTCAAAAACCATTTCGTAAGAGCGGCACTGATCAGGATTTGGGAGAAATACAAGAACCACTTTTACACAAAAACACCGACTTGGATTTCACCCCTAGAAGCGAGCCAAAGGAGACTACTAGGCTGGTCAGAATGGCCAAAATACAGTGACTTACTAATGAAGAAAGAAGGGAAAATACATCTAAAACCACGAGAGGAGATAACAATTCAACACAAAAACATTACCTGGTTCCAATTCTTACAAATCAAAGAACAATTTAACAAGGACTCAAATATAGGATTTACAGATAAGGAAGACTTCTGGGAACCCCTGATAAAGAACGGAAAGAAAATCATAACCAAGATCTACTCAAAACTACTAGAATGGTCAACTGAGACCGGATTAATAAAGGAATGTATGATCAAGTGGGCCAGAAACATTTGAAGATCAATAAACCTAAGAGAATGGGAACAAACATGGAAACTGAAACTAAAATACACGTACTCATCTGACCTGAAAGAGAATTGGTACAAAATGTTCTTCCGATGGCACATGACCCCACAGAAACTTGGACTAATGTATAAAAACACCCAAAACAAATGTTGGAAGTGCCAAACCCAAGTGGGAACATACTACCACATGTGGTGGTCATGTACTAAAGCTAGAAAATATTGGAAAACAATACAGGAGGCCTCTCAGAAGAGCCTGCAAACAACAATACAATTAAAACCAGAATACTTCCTTCTTGGCATTACGGACGAAGATATACCGCTCCAAAGAAATAAAGACAAACTATTCACTTTACTGACAACAGCAGCAAGGACAACATACGCCAAGAAGTGGAAACTAAAGGAACTGCCAACCAAAGAAGAATGGGAAGCTAAGGTTTCCGAAATAATGGACATGGATTTATTAACATACTATCTTAAAGACCCAGAGGGCAAGCCAATAAACCCAACAGACTGGACCCTCTTCAAAAATTACATGGAATCACAACGAAACCCATGAAGACTTGCTACCCCCGAGTGAGTACAAGTGACAGAAATGAAAACAAAAAATCAGAGACTTGGAAAGTCCAAAAAAGAAGTGACCAATATTAAACAAAAACGCGGCACCAGAGTGATGACCAAGACTACCCAGGGAAGATAAAGGCAGAAGTCAACAAAAAGAAACAGTTTCTAAACTATTCTTTTTAACTGTCATATATCTGTCCCTTTTCTGCCTTCTTTCTCTCCCACTACTTCCCCCCCTTGTTTCTCATCCTTCCCCCCTTTTTTTTCCTTCGCCATCCCCCTTCTTCTTCATTGCCCCCTATTCTTGACGCTCGAATGCGTCCATCCCCTACCCCCATGCCTACCCTTGCCTACCTCCATACCTATCCACTATCTTCCCTTTCCTCTTTCTAAGAATTCTATTGTTTTTAAATGTTTGTAAGCAAAACTACAATAAACATATTTATTACAAAAAGGTCCGCTTATATCACAATTCTTGTTGCAAAATGTGTATATTCACATCATTGTATATCCCTGTATTCCAAAAAACACATTTTCCTTTCCTCCTCCCTATGTAGACTGCTCCAGAGCATGAGTGCTTTTTAAAAGCCCAAAAGAGCTGATCAGCTGATTGGGCTGTCAAACACATGCGGGTGGCTCAAGGGAAGCACAAGTGGAAAGCAATTAGAAATCTCAGAAATTCTTTATTTTAAACTTTATAATATTAAACAGAGCTTGAATTAACAATTTGCAGAAGAGAGAGATCTGACAGAAGATGGAGGGATTTTAAATATATATATATATTTAAAATCCCTCCATTGTGTGCAAGACTTCATATGTGAACATGCAAATCTGCTTATATTTAAATTAAGATATTTGCATGTGTGCATATACAGTTCAGCACATAATAGAGTGATTTTAAAAAAAAACTTCTACCGGATGTCCCCTGTTCATCCTTTATCTTGTTCCAATACAGGGGAAGGCTATGAGGATGGCGGGGACCCAATCCCAGGACTAACAAGTCTGTGTGGAACCTGCAGTCAGGTTCTAGGATTCCCCCCCCCCCCCAAATTTAAAATGTGGAATTTGGCACTGTCCGGAAATGCCCTAAGAACGGGTCCTCGGCATTTGATCCAACAGCATCACTGATAATCCAGCCTTGACAATAAAAAACTGCACTGTGATTAACTTAAACCTACATCTCCCACAAATGTCACATGCCCTAAAACCTTTCTTATTTAAGGTTTCTTAGTGAAAAGAGGCAGTTGCATTCTTCTATTAAAACAAAGCAAAATGCAATAGCGAAATGAGCAAATGGAGCTGAGACTAGAAATGATCTATACTTACATCACCAAAAGAAAATAAAAGAACTTTTGGTACAGATACTCTAAATTTGTTTCAGTCAAACTGCTTTAGAAACATGCTGTGCATCAATTCTTGATCAAACTCTATCTGCAACATTACACTAAAATATCCTTGCCCTTTTAATTCTTCTCTGACTAACTGGGGAGATATCATTAAAGTGTTTGAGAAAGCTGAATATAGTTATCTCACATTGGAGATTCTAATTTTATTGCCATTGCCCTTTGACATAGCAACAGAAAAGCTATTGGGTGTTTGCCCATATACACTATCTCTGTATATCAGGAGAATTTGGTTTTGAAGGATTATGAACATTTAGTGTTCACTGCATTTTGAAAGAACTGGGGATTGAACATGGGGAACCTGTCCCAAGGGGGAACCCTGGAACCGGATCTAACAGTGGCCATTTGCTGAGACTTAATCCTCCAAAAAGGATTTTTATTTCTCCTGAACATTTGGGAGAAACTAAGCAACATAGCTAATTGGATCTTTTTATAAAACATGTTTTTTGTTAGACCATGAGCTTGTCAACATACTGTGACATAAAGAAATCTGTAATTTTATAACTTGGTGTGCCAAGTGATATCTAGTGTCACTTGTGCCAAAAGGCCAAAGATCACAGGATAACCTGAAGCAAGTTTGAGGCTTTAATTTTTTGCATTGCACCTCCATCTATCTCCTTTCCTATAATCAAAACTTAGTTTTCCCTAATATTCTATTTTACCTTCTCTTCTTATACTTCTCTGACACTTCTCTAATCCTCCCTACTCTGGCCTATCCCTCTCTTCAAATAAAATTGGAAAAACATGCAAATATTTTGTTCCCATATCCTCAAGGTTCTCAGGCCACAAGACAATGTACTAATACCATATGAAACTTCTGGTTTGCAGCTAACACAGCAAGAATTCAATAAAATGTCTGTTTCTGCTACCTTCCTAGAGCTGTCACAAAAGGGAGGGGAGGGGATCAGGTCACAGTACATGGCTGGTAGGCAGCATGAGTTTGTAGACTTCCAAGTCCATGCAATATACCAATGTATATTGTTCTTAATTTCATTGAACACTCATTGAACACTCTGTATATTGGAACCGTAATTCCAATATACAGATTACTATAGAGATATATGTCTAATGGCTCTTTATTGACCCTTGTTGTACCTTATTCTCTAATCTATCACTGACCATGTATATCTATTAGAATCAATTCATGTGCATTCTGAATCTTACCGGAGAAGACACTGGGAATCTTGGAAAGAAAGCTTTTAACTGTTCGAATTGGAATCCCATTTTTCTCATCTTGCATACGGGCAATGACATCTTCCATCTGAATGAAAAGAAACAAAAAATATAACATCATCCTGAATCTGATCAAAATCTTTCTTATCCACCTCTCTATAAAAAAATCCACATGAAAAATTAAGCACAATAGCACTCTCATGCTCACATTTACCAACAACTAATATTTAATCAAGTCATACTTTTTTAGTACTGAAATAATATATAGCCACTGATATTATTTCTACCATAATTATGTTTAACTCCAAACGTTTTTACATCTTGTGGCAGCAAATGCCATAGTGTTACTATGTGCTCTGAAAGTACTTCCTTTCTTGCCCTGAATTTCCCTCTATTGCCCTTCAATGGGCATGCCTTGTGGATAGCCTTCCACCTTAGACTGGTAATCACATTTCTAGATGGGGCAACTGGGAGCAGCAGTGAGTGGGGATGCACATATAATTCATGAAAAGGATGTCTGGGCCAGTTTACGATAATTAAATGGTAGTGAGTGTATTAACTTAGATAACAACCTATTCATGTTGACAGAAAATTTAGTAGGAACTAGCTGTCCCCTGCCACATGTTGCTGTGGCCCAGTCTGGTGATCTGGAAAATAAAGTAATGAGAAAGTGCTGGTTTTTAATATATGTTATTTCTTTATGCTTGTGGGTAAACAATATTTCTTGCTGTTTCTTTGTCAGTGTTGATGTTGAGATTGTCTGGCTTGCCTACTCTGGAGCATGCAACATATAATTCTTTAGGGGTCCCTTTCAAATCTATGATACTATATCTGTCATATACATGTGTGTGTGTGAATCATATCTATCTATCTATATTTATGGCTGGATGGCTCTTTGTCAGGAGGGAATTGATTATGTTTTCTTGCCCTGGTGAAGGGAGTTGGACTGGGGGGTCCGGACCCCTGGGGGGGGTTGCAAGGGGGTGTCAGAAGGGTCACCAAAGACCACCAGAAAACATAGCATTTTCTGTTGGTCATGGGGGTTCTGTGTGGGAAGTTTGGCCCAATTCTATTGGTGGGGTTCAGAATGCTCTTTGATTTCAGGTGAACTATAAATCCCAGTAACTACAACTCCAAAATGTCAAGGTCTACTTCCCCCAAAGTCCATCTGTGTTCATATATGGGCATATAGAGTATTCGTGACAATTTTGGTCTAGAGGACCCTTCATTGTTTGAGTCCACAGTGCTCTCTGGATGTAGTTGCTGCCTCCTGCAGAATTCTGGGGTTTGTAGTTTAGGGAGGAGTCTAAAAACATCACTAAACTACAAACCTCAGAATTCTGCAGGAGGCAGAAACTGGATTTAAGGTGGATTCATTCTCTAGTGTGGTGAACAATTAAGAAGATAGAAAATGAACATTTTGACAAAAAATTGAGTTTAAATCTTGTACCAGAACAAGACTATTTTTTAAAGGTTTCAAAACATAGTAAGAGCTCATTAGAAAGCAACCATAGTCAAGAGTTTTGGTATAGTGGTGATGAGTTTAGGTATATTATGGGAAACTTCAGCAAACATAGCAGAAAGCTGCAATAGCTGATGTGGCATGTCAACAGCTCAATCAGCTAAAATGCTAGCTGATGAATTGGCAAGTATAGTGAGTTTAGGGTTTTAGTGTCCAGCACTCCAGGGACTGCAAAGACTAAAAATTGAAAACGAAACAAACCATTTTTTTTTCTGTCAGGTACTATATTTTAGAAGAACTGGCAAAAGCATTCATTGCCTAATAAAACCCTATGAAAATTATTGAGTTGCCATAAATTGACTAGTGACTTAAAGGCACATACACGCACATTTTCAGGAAATAGAAGAAGAAATTGGCCCTCTTATTTTGACTGCTTAAAAATAGTGAAGAAAAATTAGGCAAGATTTTTTTCCAGATTATGATAAATTAGTTTCTTTCTTCTCCAGCAGTAAGCATCTAATCCAGCTCATCCTGCACAACAAACTCTTGCTTTTTATTTCAAAGAAACAAAATAAGTGTATTTACTGCCAGTCTTTTTCAAATATAAAAAGTTTCAGAACATCCATTTAAAACCTTGGTTTGTTTCTAGTGATCCATTGCAGAAGGCCCACTTACATAGAAGGATCTCAGCCTGCCTGTGAGAGTCTGGTCTTCTTTAATCTTCATTGGAAGGAAGCTCTAAGAGAAGGACCACTCCTCAATGTCCAAATAAGTTTGTATGAGAAATTGCGAGTCTATCTAACAGGCTAGACTCAAACTAAGTAGGGCACTACTGATCATAACCAGAATTCTGGAGTGTGAATGGAAATAGAGTAGTAGCCCATAGAGCTGTTGTAGAAAAGGAGATTTAGGCCCAATCTACTCTGCCATATAAAATCCAGATAATCTGTTTTGTACTGGACTATATTAATCTATAAGGCCATATAATCCAGTTCAAAGCAGATAATTTGGATGTTATATGGCAGTGTAGATGGGGCAATGGACTTCCTTTTAACCAGCCCCAATAACAGAGCTGATTGGCTGATTCAAACGTCTGCAGCATTTTGAACCAGCTGAGATTTTCAGACTCTGTTGAAAGGCAACTGCCTAAACAGTGCATTACAGAATTCAACGTGATATGTAACTAAACTATCAGTTATCATATTGGGTATTTATTGGAAGGGATGCAGTCTCCGAAAAATTGAATTGGGCTGCGTAGACTGACCCCTCAGTAGTCCCAGGACTTCTGAGGGGTCTGTCTGCATAGGGCCCATTCTCAGAAAGAACTGGATCTAATGGAGTATCAAATTAATTCAGAACAAAGTAGTGTTTTCCTGCTTTGTCTCTTGAATTAATTCAGTTTTACCAGAGACGTTGTTTGGATGCCTCCAGTAAAACTGCAGGAGCTCCCACATTATGGGTCCTGTCTGGATAAGCCCTTACAGAGTGTGATTTGCCCATGGTCACTCAGTAGGTTTCCAAGGCTAGGTAGAGATTCAAACCCTTGAGTAATAGTATAGAGTTATTGTCCAATCCTGCAACCACTATACCATGCTGTGGTTTTCTACTTTAATGGTTCTTCCAAATTATGCCCCTCTATAAGGAGGCCTCTATAAGGCACATAGAATTGACAAACCAGGAGGCGGAGGGGTGGGGATATGAGTTATTTGCCTGCCTACATGTCATGTCATTTCTACATGTAAGTTTCTTCCATTTTTAGGGCTTTAGCAGGGAAGGAGAGAGGGTGGATGCCCTCTTCGCTTCTCCATGAAACCTAAAGAAGTGAATTGGACTTCTTACCCCATTTCATAAAGGCCCTGGTCTAATGAAGTATCTATTTAATTCAGGACAAAGCAGGGTTAACCTGCTTTGTCCTGAATTAATCCTCTTTTACCTAAGGAATTGATCCTCTTTTACCTGAGGCGTTGTTTGGACGCCTCAGATAAAAGTCCGACAGCATCCACATTTTGAGCCCTGTCTGGAAGGGCCCTAACTAGTATGAGACAACCGGTCATATTCAACCCTCTAATACAGCATGTTGTGCCTTCTTTGCTAGCCAATTTATCTCACCTTGTGGAATTACTTCAGCGTTCACAGAAGCCCATAAAGTTTAATACCTTTCCGTTCACAACTTTGTTTTCTGTTTCTGCTGTTGCTTGCTTTAAATTCAGAGAAGATGTGTTCTTTTCCACTGTAAACTATTATGTCCTCATATCTGGAAAACTGTACCTAAAGTCACTCCTCCAATCTCCATTAGTCCACACAGTCTAGGAGAATGTCAACTGTGTAATAGCTAAATTAGGACAATACAATGGAATTAGATTCTAGTTTTGATCAAGTTGTCTAATCTATAGAGTGCCAGCTGTTCCTTGGCCGAGTAGCTTGCCTCCCTGATATGTCACCATTTGCTTCCTAAACTCCAAAGCAAAGGATAAGCTCCTTTGCTTTGCCTCAGCATTTTGCTTCTTGTGCTCCATTTATCTTCTTATCTGTTTAAACCAGACCTGCTCCAACAATGCAGTAGAGCATTTTGAGTCTGAGCATTTCTTTTCAAAAGCAGCAAATCCTTTATGTGGGTAAGGCACAAAATAGCTGCACAGATTATGTGGAAGAAAAGCACTGTGATGAAATGCATAAGCATCCTGCTGTTTTTCAAACAGAGCAGCAGAAGAAATTTGGTAAGCAAAATAATGCCAATGCATGAGTAGCACAAACATCCACATAAATGTCAGGGACACTGGGTGTTGATATTTACTATGTAATGAAAATGGTTTCAATACAAACTGACAATTCAAGAACAAATTTTAGCCTTGCTTTACAGTCCCAACTGGGTTCTAATTATTACTATATTGTAACTCCTAAACATAGTCTACATAAATCTCAAAAGGAGAATACTACAAATGTCAGATTGAAACCATTTTCATTACATTGCAATATAGATATCTGTTGATATTTACTGTCATTTATGAGATTTTAGGGGGCCAAAGAGAAAGACTGAATTTTTTCCTATAGGTTTGAAAGCTAATTGCATACTTTCAATAAATGTCCAAGAGTGCATCTGCACTGTGGAATTAATGCAGTTTGGCACCACTTTTACAACCATGGCTGAATGCTATGGAATCACGGGTGCTGTAGTTACAAGCTCTTAAGCTTTCTCTGCCAAAGAATGCTGGTGTCTCACCAAATTATAACTCCCAGAATTCCACAGCATTGGGCAATGGCAGTTAACACGATGTCAAACTGAATTAATTCTGCACTGTGGTTGCACCCGAAATCTAATCTTCATTTCCATCATTCTCTTCTCCACTGTTGACACTGATCAAGACAGACTGAGAAATACCCAGATTTATGAAGAAATTAATTGCTCTTCAAGGCATAAGCATGTTCAGATAATGAACAGCACCCACAGAACAGATGGAGACAGAACAGATATATCTCTCAACACATGTATCTCTCAACACATCTGCAGACCATTTCTCAGTGTTCAGGGAAAATAAATCCTTCTAGAATATTAATAGTGTGAATAACTGGGTGCGGAAGACTAGCTGGAAGGGGTACTGGGGAATTGCTTCCCAGTACAATTGGAC